TTCCCTACGCCCATCAACAGCAAGGCGTGGTAGAACGGATGAACAGAACTCTCCAGAACACCATGCGCAAACTGTTGCGTGGCATGCGACTGCCCAACCACCAGTGGCCTGAGGCGATGGACCACGCTGTCATGCTGCACAACTTGCTCTCGTCATCATCGCTCCCGAACAACGCATCACCGCACCTGCTATGGACAGGAAAACTGGGCAACACAAAAATGTTACGAGTTTTTGGGTGCAAGGTACAGTACCGACCACACACTGCAAGAGCTAGAAGATTTTCCCAACGCGCACAGTGGGGGCTACACCTGGGCATCGAAAAGCATTACAACGCATGGAAGATTTTTGACGTCCACTTGAAGGAAACAGTAGCAGCACGTGATGTCATTTTCTACGAGCGACTCACACTTCAAACGTACCTGGACAACCTGGCAGCAAATCGAGACCTCACGGGCGGCTTCCGTGGCAACCGAGCTTTCGCTTTGGCAGCAGACGAAGCTGACTGGGACGAGCAGAACGTGGACGGAGCTTCAGAGGATGCCGGAGCTCTTCCGTACTGCTCAGTAGACATTCCCATGGACGACGATAACCCTCGCGAAAGTGTCAACGCCGAAACCTACTTCGACTTCGCTGACAACGGTTACGTTACACCTCAACCGGTCGACACCAACGTCTCCGAACGCATAGGGCCCAATTTCCTACCGGATCCGAAAGCGGGAGATGAAACAGCTTATCCCGAGGACGCAAATCTCCCTCGCTACACACAAAGTGGACTGCAGATATTGTGACTCGTCACCGCTGTCCACGGAGCAGCACCACCTAAGGAGCCTGCCACTATTCAGCAGGCTCTGGGGGGGGAACACAGGGAAAAATGGCGTGAAGCCATGGACAGTGAATTAAAGGCGCTGCAAGAACGCAACACCTGGAAAGTCGTGCCTATCGGAGTGGCCCGCAACAATACCCTTCTCACGGGAAAATGGGTTTTCCGCGTGAAAACAAAAGCCGACTGAACGATATACAAATTCAAGGCACGCTGGGTCATGCGCGGCTTCGACCAAGAGCATGGACGAGACTTCACTGAAACATTCGCACCAGTTAGCCGACATACCTCACTGCAAATTCTCCTTGCGATAGCCGCCATGAACCGGAAGAAACTTCGACATATCGACGTTGCCAACGCATTCCTCTACGCCCCTGTCGATGCTGAGATCTTCGTCGAACATCCACATGGGTCTAATGCAGACCCCAACCAAGTCTGTCAGCTGCAAAAATCGATGTACGGCATCAAACAAGCCCCGAGACTGAGGCAGCAGCATCTTCACGCCCGTCTTATCTGCATCGGATTCTGCCAACTACCGCATGACCAAGGGATGTACCGACTCACAAAGGGAACCAACTACATCCTGCTCGTCGTCTACGTAGACGACCTCCTCTACATAGGCTCTACCGACGATATAACGACCTGGTTTGAAGGGGAGATGCAGCGGGATCTCACACTCACCGTCGCGACTGCCGTGACACAGTACCTGGGACTCAACATACAAGACGGCGACAACGCAATCTACCTCAGCGCCGAAAAATACACAGACACCATCGCCAAACGATTCGGACTAACTCCAGCTGCCATCACCACGCCATGCCGTTACACCGACGGAAATCGCAACAAAGTCTCCGCCCTACTCAAACCCGCCGGCATTCGCGACTACCAACGAAAGCTAGGCTGTCTACTCTTCGCAGCCGTTACCTGCCGACCGGATCTATCTTACTCAGCTAGTCAACTCGCCACCTACCTCAAGAAGCCTGAAGTAGAACACATGATGGAGCTCGACCGTGCACTTCACTTCCTCGTCAGCACCCCGACGATCGGACTAACCTACCACAAGACCAGAACTACGACACCTAAACTAATCGGCTACGTCGACGCCGATCATGCTGGAGACTCTGACAACAAGCGATCTCGTACTGGCTACATCTACCGACTTGAACCCATCTCATGGCAGTCGAACAAGCAAGAGCTAATCGCTCTCTCCTCAGCCGAAGCAGAATACATCGCACTCTGCTCAACCACCAAGGAAGAACTAAATCTTCGCAAATTGCTGGAAGAAGCGAAATTGGCTTAGTTACCCAACTTCTCCCTCTTCTGCGACAACCAATCGGCAAAAAATGGGTTTGCAAATCGAACGAAGCACATCGCCCTCCGATACTTCTTCGTAAAAGACGAAATCAAGAAGGGAAGACTCGAGTTATCCTACTGACCCACATCCGAGATGGCAGCCGATTACTTGACCAAGAAACTCGGAAAACAGAAGTTCGAGTACTGCATGCTGCTGACTGGACAAGGACACGTCATCAGAAGCGACACTCCAGAAGCGAAGGGGAGTGTTGGAAACAAGTAACTTAACGCTTCTAAAGTATCGAAGTATCGACACGAAATGGAGCAGACTAAAGTGAAGCAACACGCGAGTCAACAAAAGTAACAGCTGGAGGTTACACGAAGGTCAAAGGTCGCTGACCTTTGACTCGACGAAAAATACAGCGCGACAGTAAGGACACATAACTGACTCGATATTGAGCAATTACCCGAGTCGTCACTGTATCGAACCGCAACAGCAAAAACAGTTAAAGTAAAACCTTTCATATTCCTTAGTAATCATATAAAGCTTTGTATCTCTCTGCTATTATCAACTCATCTTGTTCTCACATACCAGTGCAAGGTGGTTCAGTAAACTTTGTTATTACGCTTCCGCAAACTACAACATTCCTACTACAAAGGTCTTAGCCTTTGAAAAGATCCTAAGGGCTAATTCTCAGCCCAACACCGTACACTGATAGTTGTCAAAACTTATATGTTTATATTGCTCTAGGCTGTAGTGGGTTTAGCCCTAGGGGGTACAACTTTTCTCTCGACCTTCTAATTGTACCACCCGCTAGACCTAATGCAATCACTTCTCACCTAGTATTCTAACATGGTATTAAGAGCTAGGACGTTCCTAGCCTAGGACCAAATTTTTTGAAGGGCCCACCGTTAGTTCCTTCCTGCCCCTCGTGCGCCCCCAGGGAGCGACCGTTTTCTGCCCGTGAAGCGCCCCTAGCCAACCCGCTAGAATCGCCCTGCCCCTAGGGCGCGATCGTTTTCTGCTCATGACGCGCCCCTCACGAACCCGCTAGAATCGCCCTGCCTTGCGTGCTAACGCTGCCCCGCCCCACGCGTCAGCCCCGCCCCGCCCCACGCGTTAGCCCCGCCCTGCCCAGCGCGCTGCCTGCACGCTGCGCAAGCGGCTTGCATTGCCCGCACGCTGCCCTGCGCCGCCGGCAAGCGCCCTGCCTGCGCTTCTGGCAAGCGCCCTGCCTGCCCTGCGCCGCCGGCAAGCGCTCTGTCTGCGCTGCTGCGCTGCCGTCTGCTCCTTACCAGCGCCGCTCGTGCGCTGCCCCTGCTGCGTGCACTGGCTTCACTGCCACTCAGCAACTGCTGCTGCCGCCCTTGCCTTGCTGTAGAGGCTACTGCTATTACAGCCGCTGCTGCCAGCCGCCGCAACAGCCCCTGCTAGTGCCTCTACCGCCCCTCCTGCTGCCCCTACAGCCCCTGCTGCTGCCGCTCCAGCCCCTGTTACTGCAGCTACAGCCCTGCTGGTGCAGCTACAGCCCTTGCTGCTGCCGCTACAGCCCCTGCTGCTGCCGCCCCAGCCCCTGTTACTACAGCTACAGCCCTTGCTGCTGCCACTACAGCCCCTTCTGCTGCAGATCCAGCCACTGTTACTGCAGCTACAGCCCTGCTGGTGTAGCTACAGCCCTTGCTGCTGCCGCTACAGCCCTTGCTGCTGCCGCTACAGCCCCTGCTGCTGCCGCTCCAGCCCCTGTTACTGCAGCTACAGCCCTGCTGGTGCAGCTACAGCCCTTGCTGCTGCCGCTACAGCCCTTGTTGCTGCCGCTACAGCCCCTGCTGGTGCAGCTACAGCCCTTGCTGCTGCTGCTACAGCTCTTGCTGCTGCCGCTACAGCCCCTGCTGCTGCTTCTCCAGCCCCTGTTACTGCAGCTACAGCCCTGCTGGTGCAGCTACAGCCCTTGGTGCTGCCCCTACAGCCCTTGCTGCTGCCGCTACAGCCCTGCTGCTGCCGATCCAGCCCCTGTTACTGCAGCTACAGCCCTGCTGGTGCAGCTACAGCCCTGCTGGTGCAGCTACAGCCCTTGCTGCTGCCACCACATCCCTTGCTGCTGCCGCTACAGCCCTTGCTGCGGCCGCTACAGCCCTTGCTGTTGCCGCTACAGCCCTAGCTGCTGCCACTACAGCCCTTGCTGCTGCCGCTACAGCCCTTGCTGCTGCCGCTACAGCCCTTGCTGCTGCCTGCTACTGCTGCATGCACTGCTACTGCTGCTGCACAGCGTGCTGCTGCCACTGCTGCATGCGCTGCTGCTGCTACCACTGCTGCATGCTCTGCTGCTGCTGCCACTGCTGCATGCTCTGCTTCTCCTATTAAGTGCTGCTAGTGCTGCTGCAAGTGGTCCTGCTGCTGCGCCTGAGCTTCTGCCGCTGCCCACGCTGCCTGCACGCACCCGGCCTGCGAACTGCAGCTGCTGCTCCTTGCTGCTGCTGCTACTTGCTGCAGCTGTCGCTCCTTGCTGCTACTGCCACTGCTGCAGCTGCTGCTGCTACGACTACTGCACCTATGGCTAACTTCTCAGTTCTTATGTTTGACGCTGAGGGTCGTGCGATTAGCTTTGATGTTTGGCTCGATGATCTCCAGCTGTACCTGCAGAGCGAGGCTAGGGACGGAATTTCACTGTTCGTACATACCGAAGGAACCCTCCCACCTCCAGTTGCTACAGCGGTAGAGGATCATTTGAAGTGGCTCATATGTGACGCCACTACCCGCCTGACTATCCGCAACCATCTGCTTGTAGCTGAGCGTGCACACTTTAGCCAGCAGAAAACAGCCAAGGCCCTCTATGACGCTGTAGTAGCTCGCTACTCCTCCCCAGCTACTGCTGCCCTAGGCCGTCTCATGCTGCCGTACCTCCATCCCGAGCTAGCTGATTTCCACAATGTCTCTGACCTCTTTACCCACCTCCGCTCTAGTGAGGCTCGCTACCGTGCCGCTCTCAAGCCGCCCTTCCTCGCTGCGAACCCCCCCCCCCTCCTCTCCCCCCCCCCCCCCACGCTATATATGACACTGTACTTCCTTGTCACTCGCCTCCGCGACTCCCTTCACACTGTCTGGGACCAGTTCCTAGCCCTTGACCCCACAGAGATCACACTTGACTCGCTCAAGAAGTCCCTTCTTGAGGCCGAGAAGAGCAATGTCGTTGTTGCTGCCTCTCGTGGCACTCCCCGCTCCCCCTTCTTTGAAGGATGTACTCCCTCCCCTCTCCTCCCCTCAGTTGCTACTGCTGCTACTGTCGACCTCCTTGGTGCTGAGGAGGTTAGCACTGTGTCTGCTCCCGGTGGAAGGCGCAACAACAGCAGGGGCAAAGGGGGCAAGGGGGGTGGGGGTGGCACCAGCGGTGGAGGTGGCGGGGGTGGAGGCGGTGGGGGTGGCTTTGGGGGTGGCGGCAGTGGAGGCGGACGGGGTGGTGGAGGCAGCGGGGGTGGTGGAGGCAGCGGGGGTGGTGGAGGCAGCGGGGGTGGTGGAGGCGGCGGGGGTGGTGGAGGCGGCGGGGGTGGTGGAGGTGGTTGGGGTGGAGCTGGCAAGGGTGGAGGTCGTGGCGGATCAGCTCGTGGCGTTGGTGGCCATGAACAACAGCTGCAGCGCCTCCCGGACAACCCCACCCCTCAGCAGCTTGGTGAGTGGGTTGTCTAGCGTGTTTCCCCTGGGGGCTCTGGTCGCTGCTCGTACGTCAAGCGCACTGGGAAGCTGAAGGGGCAGCCATGCGGGAAGCTGCACACCGAGTATCGCTGCTTCGGCTGTCTTGAGGATGCCTGGGTGGATGAGTACGGGAATGAGGCAATTGTCCCCAACTGGCTGAAACTGCAGGGGATGGGAGTCGATGTGTATGCGCTTGACTTTGTTCAGATCAACAAGGCTATCTATGCTATGTATGTGACTGAGCTTAGTGATGAGGGTGCGTGTTACTCGTGTGTACCTGGTGATGCTGGTGTCGCTGCTACTGCTCTAGGTGCTATTGAGTCTGCTGCAGCACTAGGTGCTGGTGAGTCTTCGATCGCAGGTGCTAGTGAGTCTGCTGCATCCGCTGAGGCCCTTCACACTTTCACGCTTGACTCAAGCGCGTCTCGTTATTTCTTTCGTGACTGCACCACACTCACACCACTAGCTGCACCGGTATCAGTCTCACTGGCCGACCCCACTGGGGGCCTAGTAGTCGCACGAGCCTCCACTGTCCTTCCGTGTCCAGCGGTCCCCTCAGGTTCTCTATCAGGTCTCCATCTCCCCACGTTCTCCACGAACTTGGTGAGCAACGCTGCTCTTCAGGATGTATGGGTTGACACCTTTACTCCTGGAGGGCAGCGTGTGGCGATCTGTACGTGCTTCCGGACTGGCCGTCACCTAGCTACGTTCACTCGACAGCCTGGGTCTAGTCTGTACACACTGACCACTGCGTCTGCACAGGTGGCTGAGTCAGGTCAGGTGACTGCGTCGAGTCAGGTGTCTGCGTCTGGTCAGCTTGCAGCGTCCTGCTCGTGTCGGGTACTCTCCCACCAGACTCTCCTCTGGCACCACCGCCTTAGTCACCCCTCCCTTCCGCGTCTCCGCAGCATGCACTCCCGTCTCCTTGTCTTTGGGCTTCCCAGGTCCCTGCCCTCCCTCGCACGCTCGCCTGCACCGCCCTGCCTTCCCTGCGTTAAGGGGCGGCAGCGCGCCGCTCCTCACTCCTCCGAGTTTCCTCCTCACTGCTCCTCTGCAGATTCTCCACATGGACGTTTGGGGCCCGGCCCCCATTGGTGGAACGTACCAGGAGCGCTACTTCCTGCTGGTTGTTGATGACTACACATGCTACACCACTGTCTTCCCCTTGCACAACAAGGCGGACGTCAGCGGAGTTTTGATCCCCTGGATCCGTGCTACTCATCGCCAGCTGCGCGATTGGTTTAGTCGAGACTTGCCAATCCTGCGTCTGCACTCTGACAGGGGCGGTGAGTTCTCTTGTGACCTCCTTGAAGAGTTCTGTCGAGACGAGGGCATCGTCCAGTCGTTCACACTTCCGGCATCTCCTCAGCAAAATGGGATTGCTGAGCATCGCATTGGCTTGATCATGGAGGTTGCTCGTACCTCCATGATCCATGCGGCTGCTCCCGATATTCTGTGGTCGTTTGCGGTCCGATACGCTGCGCATCAGCTCAACCTCTGGCCCCGTGTCTCTTTGCCCACAATCCGTTGGACGGGACAGGTTGGCGATGCGTCGGTGTTTCGGGTCTGGGGTGCGCTCTCCCTTGTTCGCGATACCACTGCGAGCAAGCTCTCCCCTCGCACTCTTTGCTGCATCTTCCTTGGCTTCCCCACCGACGCCCCGCCGTGGCAGTTCTACCACCCGAGCTCGCATCGAGTCTTCTCCTCCCAGGACGTCACCTTTGACGAGTCTGTCTGTTATTACAGGCTTCACCCGCACGCGCCCCACCCTGTCCCCCTCGCACCTCTCTTCCTGGTCCCTGTCCCCCCCTCGGTTGACCCCCTCCCCCCACAGGGTCCTGCTCCCTCAGGTGTGTCTCAGGTAGACCCACCCCCCTTGGTTGAGCCTTTGGAGGTCTTTTCTGACTCCTCTTGCCCAACTGAGGGGGGTGACCCCATTGCTGACGACACGGCGGCCACTCGCCGCTCTCCATGCTTGGAGACCCCCCCTGTCTTCGCCACCTCCGCAGCCTGCTGCTGTGGACTCAGGAGCTGAGACTGCTGGTGCTGAGCCTGGAGGTGCTGAGACTGGGGGTGCTGACTCTAGGGGTGCTGCGAGTCCTGGTGGCGGTGGAGAGTCCAGTCCTGGAGGTGCTGGAGGTACTGCTGGAGGTACTAGAGGTGCTGCTGGTGCTGGAGGTACTGGAGCTGCTGGTGCTGGAGGTGCTGGAGCTACTGGTCCTGGAGGTCCTGCTAGTGCTGGAGGTGCTGGAGGTGCTGGAGGTACCACTAGTGCTGAAGGTACTGGAGCTGCTGGTGCTGGAGGTACTGGAGCTGTTGGTGCTCTAGGTGCTGGAGGTGCTGGAGGTGCTGGAGGTGCTGCAGGTGCTGGAGGTGCTGGAGCTACCACTGCTGGAGGTACTGGACCTGCTGGTGCGCTTAGCAACCTTCTCGCCCTTCTGCCAGCTCCTACTGAGTTCCCAGTCGCTGGTACTACTCCTCCGTTGCTGTTCCCACAGCTCTTGCCTCGCTCCCCACTGCCTGCTCCTGCTCCTTACACTGTTGTGACAGAGTCCCTGACTGAGCGTCGAGAGCCTGAGACTCGTGCTTCCACTCCTGAGTGTCGAGAGCCTGAAACTCGTGCTTCCACTCCTGAGTGTCGAGAGCCTGAGACTAGAGCCTCTGTCCGTACTCATGTTCCTCGTGTTTGTTGTTCTCGTGCTCCGGCTGTCCTAGGCACTCATGATATGACACTCCGTCCTTCCTCTATTCCACTGCGTATTGTCCTGCCTTCACCTCCTGAGTCTTCTCTTCCCGCTGGTGCTCACCCTTCGTCTGACCTTGCTCGTGCGTCCAGTCCGACTTCTACTTGCTTTCTTGCTACGGATGTGACAGACTCTACGCTCTCGTCTCGTGCTGCGTCTGCCTTAGTCGCTGAGCTAGTTGAATTTGCTGCTGCGTACCACATAGACTACCGTGCGAGTCTCGTTTCTGACCCTGACCCTGCCTGTCCTCCGTCCGTCGGGGGTGAGGTTGCCCTTGGCTAAGACGTTCTTGAGGATAGGCACGAGGAGCTGGAGTGTCTTGCAACCGCTGCACCTCATCTCGCGACCATGCTGCTTGCCCCTGAGGGAGACCCACATGCACTTGACATCCCCACCCCACGCTCTTACAGAGAGGCGATCTCGGGTGAGTACTCCTCTCAGTGGCAGACAGCCATGGACGCAGAGATGGCTTCCTGGAAGTCCACAGGCACCTGCGTTGACGAGGTTCCCCCACCTGGGGCGAACATCATCAGTGGCATGTGGATTTTCAGGGTGAAGCGGCCGCCGGGTTCTCCGCCTGCCTTCAAGGTGCGCTACGTTGCTCAAGGCTTCAGTCAGCGACAGGGGGTCGACTTCTTCCATACCTTCTCCCCTACCCCGAAGATGACCACTCTTCGGGTGTTACTACACGTTGCAGCTCAGCGTGACTTCGAGCTGCATTCTCTTGACTTCTCCACAACTTTCTTGCAGGGTAGCCTTCACGAGGCCATCTGGCTGCATCGTCCACCTAGTTTCACTGGGTCGTTTCCTGAGGGTACCCAGTGGAGCCTATGGCGACCAGTTTACGGCCTGCGTCAGGCACCTTGCGAGTGGCACGACACACTGAGGACTACACTTGCGGCTCTTGGGTTTGCTCCTTCGACTGCTGACCCGTCGCTGTTTCTGCGCACCGACACTACCCTGCCGCCGTTCTACATTCTCGTGTACGTCGACGACTTGGTTTTTGCTACTGCTGACACGGAGGCGCTGTCCCTAGTGAAGGTGGAGGTGCAAGAGAGACACACCTGCACTGACATGGGTAAGCTGCGGAGCTATCTTGGCCAGCAGATCACCCGGGACAGAGCACGGTGCACCATCACCCTGACTCAGTCACACATGGTACACCAGGTCCTTCAGCGCTTCGGCTTCTAGTTCTCCTCGCCACCCGCCCAATCCTCTATCTACCGGCCACTCGCTCTCAGCTCCATCTTTGGACGAGTTCGTAGAGCCAAGTGGTCCGTACCCAGAGCTTGTGGGTTGCCTCATGTACCTGATGACTTGCACGCGACCTGACCTCGCGTACCCTCTCAGCCTTGTGGCTCGCTACGTGGCTCACGGTCGACACCGAAAGGTGCACTGGGATGCTGCTAAAAGGGTACTGCGTTACTTGTGCAGTACATCGGGCATGGGGCTCGTGCTTGGAGGACGGGGTTCTGTGGTACTCACAGGAGACTCCGACGCTTTTTGGGCCGACGACCAGGCGACTCAGCATTCGTCACAGGGTTACACCTTCAGTCTTGGCTCTAGTTCTGTCTCGTGGAGGTCCTCTCATTCTTCTTCTGTGCTTGGTTCCAGCTGTGAGGCCGAGATCTACATTGGGGCCATGGCTGCACAGGAGCTACGCTGACTGACCTACCTGCTGACCGACTTGGGGGAACGGCCTCGTTCTCCTCCAGTTCTGTATGTCGACAACAAGGCAATGCTTGCCTTGTGTCACGAGCAGAGACTGGAGCACAGAACGAAGCACATTGCTCTTCGTTACTTCCTTGCGCGAGAGCTGCAGCAGTGTCGTCAGCTCCGCCTTTCCTACGTGGCCTCGCGGGCCAACACTGCTGATGTCTTCACCAAGGCCCTTGGGTCTGGTGATCATCAGCGTTTCTGCACTGCTCTTGGGCTTGTGCCCACTCTGCCTCACTTGCTTTTCTCTTGATCTTGCTCTTGTTGTACACTGATACGTATGAGTAGAACTGCATGCTTACACTTGCTAGGTTGTGATCAGTGTACTACTCTTGCTATTATAAACTCTGCATGTGAACTGGCCTTGTGGCCACTTGCTTGTGCTCGGAATGCGTGGTGATCTTGAGATCCACCCTGAGCTTTGCTTGGCTTTGCTTCTTCTCTTGACTGGTCTTGTGACCATTGTTTGCGCTGGCTATCCCCCACTTCGCCTTTGTTTATATTGCTCTAGGCTGTAGTGGGTTTAGCCCTAGGGGGTACAACTTTTCTCTCAACCTTCTACTTGTACCACCCGCTCGACCTAATGCAATGACTTCTCACCTAGTATTCTAACAACAGTTGCTAGACCTAGTTCAGGCAGCAATACTGTAGTTGCCCCCTAAATTGGGTTGCGTGTCGTGCTGGCAAGGGAATGATTCCTAAGTGACCAATCGGACACGTGACAGCAGCGAACGCACGTACTGAACGGAAGGTAACCTCGGTACTTGCGTGATTGACGGAAATCACGATCTGACAAATCTCGGGGAAAAAAAAAGGGGGGGGGGGGGGGGGGGGGGGGGGGGGGGGGGGGGGGGGGGGGGGGGGGGGGGGGGGGGGGGGGGGGGGGGGGGGGGGGGGGGGGGGGGGG